TTATTTTATATATTATATATATTATATTATATTATATATATTATATATATTTTTTATATATATTATATATATTATATATTATATATATATTATGATTAATATATTATAAGTGACCAGCTTTTGATCAAACACAGATTGGAATATTTCAAAGTTTTGCAAATTACTTTAAACGTGTTTTAATTTTTAATTCCCTACAGTTGAAGGGCGCCGCGTGTAAATAATTTAAGAGCGGTATTATATACCGTATGCATGTGCTAATGAACCTTTTCGGAGTGTCAATCAAACTTAACAACTGACTAAGAATATATGCGGGGTCAGGAATACACACGTGTCTCACCAAAAATAAGGGGAGTTCAGGCTCGTCAGGGGAATCGGACAATACAGACCATGCATAAGGTATAACTACATTTGTCTCATGGCTGAAAACCTTGGCCTGTTTCAAAAGCAAAGCCTCCATCAATAATACGTATTTTTTCAATCAGAGCACAATCAACAATTTCTTTAAATTACATAGTCCAAACTACTGCTCCACATCCCCAATTGTTTTCGAATTTCTCAACGATTCCTTAATCACCATCGAAATATTAACAAATCAGAACAATAACAATTTATCATTCGTCATATCGTACTTTTCCCAACTAATGTTTACACTAAAAAGTCTTGAAGATCGTCAGATATTTGGTCTGATCTTAATTTCATGAAATGTTCATTAAACGGGAATGTATTCAGCTCTTCGGCATGAATATTCTTAAAGTCGTTCGTAAAGTTTATAATTTTTAAATATTTTTTATTTAATTTCTGGTATTTCAGAATATATATGCGTTTTTCGTATAAATTCGTTTCCCATGTCATCATAGTCTCCAAAACAACCAATTCGAAACATAACGTTGCTTTCGGAATAGTCAAGCGTAGAAGTTGTATAATCAGTATCTGATAACGAATCAGAGTCCTCGTAAATCGGATTGTCTTCCCAGATTGTCTCGTCCTCTGCATCACTGTCGTAATCAAACGCCGAATCCTTTGATTTCGTAAGGGAGGTTTTGGCTTCGTTCTCAAGTAGTGTGTCCTTTGGCTCGGCATAAATCGCGTCACTGTAGCCCAGATTGTCTGACAAATTGGACATACGCACTATCGGCAAACCTTGAGTCTTTTGAACATATGTATTAGCCGGTTGTAAAAAAACAGTATGGCGAACGTTTCGTTTCGAACCAGCTTCATTGAGGACGTTAAAATCACTATGAGGACGTGGACGTGGTAATTCCGGTGCGCTGCAGTATTCTCGAACATGGAAAGTCTTAGCGTGGTCTGGTGGTGGAAGGCATGGAACAGGTGGGGGAGGTGTACGAGGCACCTTACACCTGAACTCTATTCGTGGTGGCGCTTTGTTTGATAATGGATACCGTACAAACATCTCTGGTCTTCTTTCATTTCCCATAGAACTACTTTTTCTTGGTAGTGTACGTTCCTTAAAATCCTCACTATGGCTCCATGTTTTGCTTCTTGCAACTGTGACAATTTTCCCGACAGATTCTAGTCCATTGAGCATACAAGCTATACTACTTCTATCGTGTTTTTTATCTCTCTTATCATCTCGTCTTTTAATGTCCTGAATATCTTGATAAACAGCATCTTTGTCTACGCTACTACTTAACGAATACGTGGAATATGCATTGTTGACGATACTTTGTGATTTCAACTCATCAATACACTCATAGGCATTATACAGCAAACGCCTCCGGGACTGGGCTGGTGTGCAGCAATTCTCTTTTTGTCTGAAATAAGAATGTAGAGAATAGATAAACAAGCTATATAGAAAAGTACACCATCCCAAAGCAATTTTTATTTTGAGTTTCTAACAACCTCTTTGACTGATCGGGTTAAACATCTTTGACTGATGAAAATGTAAACAAAAAAAACAAAACAAAAACAAAACATTCTATATGCAAAATAATTCAAATTATTAATGTTTGAAATGGAATTATCCTATTTAGTATTGGGAAGTGTATAAATTAGCTTTCATAACCATTGCATTAGTGACCGAAATGTACTTATGAGTGAGTCAGAATGAGTTTACCAAGACGCATCTATTATATTAAGGAACGGTTCCAATGTTTTATGATTGATGAAGGTTTAGTGAATGAATGTTCATCGGTGTAATGACGTTGATACATACATTTATAGTGTATATATATATATATATATATATATATATATATGATATATGTTATATATATGATATATGTTATATATATATATATATATATATATATATATATGATATATGTTATATATATGATATATGTTATATATATATATATATATATATATATATATATGATATATGTTATATATATGATATATGTTATATATATATATATATATATATATATATATATGATATATGTTATATATATGATATATGTTATATATATATATATATATATATATATATATATGGTGTGACAGCTAAAATGCTAGCTCCAGTACAAGAATACACCTAGGTTTTTGCCTAGGTACTGCAGACTAGTAAGTCTATCAAAGAGAATCAAGACTGCGAGTGTGGACCAGAGGATCGGTGCAGTGAATTTGACCAGGGGCGTAACAGGGCAGTGGTTAGCCTGTCGAACATTTTCAGATATGTCTATAATTAACTTGAAAAGAGTGTTAATCCAGATAAGGCAAAGTTTCAAATTATAATTTCTACATCGGGAAGCCTCCTCCAAAATAGAAGGAAGTCTATAAAGGGACAAGACCTTGAGGCATAGAACGCAAACTGACTCTAGATAAGTTCGCATGGGAGTGAGTAGCATTTACTAAATAAGACTAATTATAGATATTTATTAAACTTGTTACAAATCATAACATTAGAAAAACATGACATAATCCAGATCTTAAACATAAATGGTAAACTTGGGTACGATGGGGTAATAAGCATGGAGGAATTAGTTCCTCCATGGTGTAAGTCAATTCTACCTTGTAAGGCAGATCGTCAACTGCAGTATCTACCTGAATATACAACAATATTTGTATGAGAACTCAATTTAAGTTCAACTTCCTTTTACTTGGTTTTACTTTCTTACTTATAAAGACAATTAATTTTATGCTCCCATATTCACTTAATTCAGCTGTGTTTATTTACTTATTTATTTATTTATTTATTTGCACCTAAGCAACAAACTCAATTACTGTATCACATTATGATCTCTTTTGTCAACTGGAACTCCCTAAGATTGAGAGTCTTAACCCTGGAAATCACGTAATCTTAACTCGAACACTAATATTTAAATTCATATTCGAGTTATCTTGTAATAATTCAATTTTACTGTTTTAAATACTTATATTGATCAACAGAGGTGTACCGCAGCTTAGTGATGAAGATGATTGCATATAATCAGAGGGTTACGAGTTCAAATCGTGTCTGACGCTATTGTTGGTTTTTTGCATAGTCTCCTAAGACTGATGTCGTTCAATAAAGTTTTCAATATAAAATGAAATTTTCAAGGTTGACGTTATGAAATTGATTTGGAAAGACCTTTAGATTGGAACATATGGGAGTAATATAGGTGACTCAAGTAAAGCGAATGCATTTATTAAATCCACATGTTAAATTCAACAATAGATACATGGAAATTAAAATAAAAATACTGAAAGTATTGCTACTATAGAATGAAACTGAGATTATTACAAACAAACCATAAACACGTGGATGTATTAGGATAATTTATATTGCACATTGTAAACTTATACATTTTTTATTTTAATTCATATCAATATGGGTTATTATTCTTCAATTCAATCTTACTCATTCCATCGTGAACATTTAAACTATAATTATAAAAAAAGATACATGTTAAAATAAATGAAGAAACTTTAACTCTTTAAGACACCAGAGAATTGATTAGGTTTTGACTCCAATTGAAGGTATTAGATACTAAGTTATAAGGTATAGGAGATATACAACGTTAAAAATTATATAATGTACTGAAAGGAAAAATAAATCCTACCAAAATTACGCAACAAAAACATGTGAACATTATTTATATACAGTAACATTTATAATTTATTACAATAATACTTATTTAAACATACTTAACATATTTATATATACCTGTCTCTTATACAC